CTGCAGCCAAAGCCTATAATTTCAGATGTGGAGACAAGAAGATCAGGAGTTCAAGGTTAGCCTGGACCACAGGAGTCCCCATTTGAAAGTAAAGAATAAAAATCTGTCTGCGCCCATTATAGTGGTACGTGCCTTTAATCCCAGCACCTGGGAAGCAGAGACAGGCTTCAAGGTCAGCCTGGTCTACATATAGAAAGTACAGTTTGAGCTACATAGAGAGACCCTGATTGAGACAAACAAAAATACAACTAGAATTATGAGCTTTATTTTGAGTAGTATTTTGTTTGTCCTTATTTACTATAAATTTTTGAATCATGTGAGGTAATTAATCACTAAAGGATTTTACTATTGTACTAGGTTACATATTAAATCAATATATTTCTTTAAAGAGAGAGAGAGAGAGAGAGAGAGAGGGGCCTGCTTCTGCCTCCAGAGTGCTGGGATTAAAGGTGTGTACCACCACCACCTGGCCTGCTTTTGTTTCGTAATGAAATTCATGAATACATTTTTTTTATGTTTTCATTTCTCAATTTTATGCCTGGGAAAATGGCTAGATCATAAATAATTGTTTAACCTTTGGAATAACTGCCGACCTGTTTGCCAAAACAAGCAGATGTGTCATCTGTATACTGCTTTCCATTTTGAACAGCGAGGAAGACTCCCAATTCACACTCAGGAGTCAAACATGTGTGTGGACCTGTGTGTGAGTGCTTATGGAGAACAACGGCTGATCTTTTTTTTTTTTTTTTTTTTTTTTTTTTTTAAAAGACAGGGTCTTGTACTGAACCTGGAGCTCACTCAATGGCTAGCCAGCAGATCCCAGAGATATTCTCCTGTCTACTTCTTTAGTGTTGGAATTGGAGATTATGGGTCAATTTTAAAAGAGAATGTTTGGGACTGGAAAGATGGTTTGATCAGGAAAGTGCTTGCCATGTAAACATCAGGATCCAAGTTTGGGTTCCCAGCATCCACAAAAGCTAGGTGCAGTGGCATACACCTGTGACTCCCGGGGTGGCTGGGTTGGGACAGGCAGACACCTAGAGTGACTCATTGACTATTCTAGGCTAGTGAGAGACCCCATTTCAACACATAAGATCAAGAATAACAGAAAGACACCGGACATTGACTTCTGACCTTCACATCACATGCATTTACACTGGCAGTTACACTGACATGCAGCTAGGCATGCATGCACCCACATGAATGTGTATGCAACACCACACGCACATGCACACACACACACATGCAGATTATTCGAAGGAAAAGAATAAGCAGAAATGTAACCCATTCTAACAAAATCTGAATATTACACTGTGAGTCACATTGACTAAATATGAAGACTCTGAAGCCATTCAGAATTGCAGGAACAGTTAACTGCACTAAAAGCAATGATGGGAATATTCTCATCTTCAGGCTTTGTCTACCCGGTTTATCCAGTGTTTAAAGGAATAATACAAAGCACTTTTTCAAATACAGGTTATATAAATCCATAGTAAAATGTAATAGGGCAATAAACAAAGATGTGAACCTTGTCTAAATATGCACAGACTTAGCTATCATCAATAAATTAAAGGGTGACGTAGAAATCCAGTACAGACTACTTCTGATCTCCAGTAGCATGTCACACATAAAATGAAACATGACACTGATTTAATTTTTGAAAACATAAGCCTTGGGGTGGAATTACAACAAAGATATATTTTAAGGGGAATTTCAATGAAAATATTCAACTTCTATGTAATTTTTTGCATTTTAAGTTTTCATATTGGGATTTGCTGTACTGTGCCAATAATATCCATCCAGTGACAGCGACCTTTCACACAGTACACAGGTGTATTCTATGTTTCTTCTTTATCCCTTAGCACACTCCCCTTTGAGAAAGTGTATTCATGTGCTTGCCCACTTCTCTTTCCCTTCAAATGTGAGACAACAGAGTACTGTCCACCTTCAAATTTAAACGTTCAAAATCCTGGTGGGTTCGAGGGGGGGGAGTGTGGTAGGGTGTTTTTTGTTTTTTTTTTTTTCCTTCCAAGAAAGGGTTTCTCTGAAGCTTTGGAGCCTGTCCTGGAACTCACTCTGTAGACCAGGCTGGCCTCTAACTCAGAGATCCGTCTGCCTCTTGCCTCCTGATTGCTGGGATTAAAGGCGCGCGCCGCCACCACCCAGCTGGGGGAAAAGGTAGTCTAAGCCATCCTCAATGACTATCTTTTTCCATTGTAGCCTTGGCTACTCTGGAACTCACTCTGTAGACCAGGCTGGACTCGAACTCACAGAGATCTGTCTGTCTCTGCTTCCAGAGTGCTGGGATTAAAGGTGTGTGCCAGCAGGGGGAAAAGGTATTCTAAGCCATCCTCAATGACTATCTTTTTCCAGTTTATTAAACAGCTGGTATGGCTTTATATCAATGTAAATATGTAATCTATTTACTCAATGTTTCTCATTTTAACCTTACAACACATACAGACCTCAGAGGTAGCAGAGGTTGAAGGCTTCTGCCTGTCTTCTCCTGAATGCTGGGCTTTCTAGGAGTCAAGTAAGTATCCATTGGGTGGTATTTTTCAAAAGCAGTATTTCACAGCCTGGCGGCATGAAACTTGTATAACCACGGTGTTCTGCATTCCCCAGCCTGTCCACAACACAAGGCTGGCTCTCCTACATAGGAACTTGTCTTCTGTTACAGGGTTGCGTGGACAAGCGTGCAGGTGTTCGTGTGTGAGGGTCAGATGATGCCTGCAGGAGTTGCTTTTTGCCTTCCACTTATGAAGAAGGGTGCTACTTGTTCTGTTGTGATACTGCATACCCCAGGCAGGCAGGTCCAAGAGCCCCCGTGACTCCTGTGTCTCCTCCCATGGTGCAGGAGCCCTGCTAGGATTACAGATGGCATGCTGTCACATGCAGCTTTTCAGAGGTTCCAGGGTTCTAAATTGACATTCACCCACAGTGCCATCTCTTTGACCTCCTGTGTTATCCTTTCTTCAGTTCCGCTTATGTGAATGGGTGTTTGTCAGCATCTGTGTCTGGAGATCACACGTGTGCCTGGTGCTCTCCAGGGCCAGAAGAGCTCATCAGATCCCCGGGCTGGAGTTGCAGATGGTTGGGAGCCACTGCCCAGTTTTTACTTAAGTTCTGGGGACCCAAACTCCAGACGTTATTCTTTGCAGGGCCACTGAGCTATCTCCCAATTGATCTCACTTCTTAGCTGTCCTTTAAGCTCTACAGCCATTTATGTCTTTATCTATAACAGATAAATAATACATGTTTCGTAGCTGGTCAGAAATTCATAGGCTTGGAGGTCACAGAGGATGGACCTCTCCCTCACAATTAGCAACATGTAATATTGTGGATCAAAACTGAAGGGCTCTGATGAAACACCGTGACCCAAAGAAAGTTGGGAGGAAGGGGTTTATTTGGCTTACACTTGCACACGGTGGTCCATCATTGGAGGAAGTCAGGACTGGAATTCAAGCAGAGCAGGAACTGGAGGCAGGGACTGATACAGAGGCCATGGAGGACTGCTGTTTATTGGCTTGCTCAGCCTGCTTTCTATGGAACGTAGGTCCACTAGCTATGTGATAACCCACCTACCATAGACTTGGGACCTCTCATGTCAATCACTAATTAAAAAAACGTCCTACAGGCTTGCCTATAGCCCAGTCTTCTGGAGGCATTTTCTCTGTTGAGACTCTCTCTCTAATGATTCTATTTTGTGTCATGTTGACATAAAACTAGCCAGCACATAGTAGGGTCTATCTACATAGCTCTGGCTATCCTGGAACTCATTAAGTAGACCAGGCTGGCCTTGAACTTAAGATCCACCTGCCTGTCTTCTAAATGCTGGGACAAAAGGCATACACCACCAAGCCTGGTATACTCATCGTCCCCACCCCTTTTTAAAGTCACTCCAAGTGGGCTTGTCAATCACCTGAGGAGGAACAAAACTATCTGTTGTAGAGGCTTTTTATAAAAGCGTTCCTAAAAATGTAGGCTGGTAAAATAATCTCTTACCAATGTCCATTCTCACCGCTTTGAGTGAGCTCTTATGCCAGTGGTCCCTTGGGCCATAGTCACTCTCCTTTGAGTATGTACTTCATCATACACTATTGAACCCCTTTATCTCCAGCAGTTTGCTCTTGAGTCTCATCTGAATCCCTAGATTGGCAGTTACAGGAAATGAAGAGCTGAGATCAGAGGGAGACCCAAATGACACAAAGTTGGTTGGAGGATACAATAACATAATGTGTGTAACTCTCCTGGGCTATTTTGGATCTTGGTAAGTTGAAGCTAGTGTTGATTTTACACAAAAGCTAGGAAATAGCCAGTTGATAGCATGTAAGGAAATAAATATATGTGGTTTTTCAAGAAATTTCAGGGTAGTTAGAAATGCTCTGATCAGCCACACATTATATGGTACCAGCATCTAATTCTAGCACTCCGGAGGCTGAAACGTCAATCAAGAGTTCTAGGTCATCCTCAAGGCCCACGATAACGGCAACAAACACCAAAACCAAACAAACTGAAGTCCCAGGGGTGGGGCAGGGGGGAACCTCACCTGTTTTAGACATTCCACAAGGCTGACTGAATTTCCAAGATTGTTGAGGGATGGAATGTTATAGGTCCAGAGCCAAATTATCTTGTGCTATTTTTAGTAAAAGCCAAGAAAGCTGCTTCCAAAAGCAGCACACAGATCTGGTCTAACACACATATTTCCCAACTAGCATGGAGAAACTTGAGATTTTCGGGGAGAGGGGGAGATGGACTGGGGGAATGGGGAGTCAGAAACAGATTCAGGTGGGGGGAAATGTTCAGAAGAAAGATAACATTTGGTACTTGATGATTATTTGTGTTTGTTGTCACATTGACAAGATCTAGAATCATCCAGGGATGGGTCTGAGTATGTCTGTGAAGGATTACAGTGACCGACCGGCAGGACTCATCTACTGTGGGAAGGGCATCCTGAACAGTATAAACGTGGACACCGACACTGTGAGCTAATCATATTAAAAACGTGGTGTTATACACCGAGTGCTGGGAGGTAGGGAAAGGTGGAACTTGAGGGTTCTCGGGCTCGCCAGCTTGGCCTAATTAGTTGATCTTCAGTGACTTTCAAATAACGTGGCTGGTTCCTTGAGTGACAGCTGAGGTTGACCTCTGGCCTCCACAGCACCTGACTTGTGCTCACGCATACACTTACACATATACATGTACGCACACACGAAGACTGAAACCAAAGCAGCCGTGATGGCCAATGACAAGCTACCAATTATCTACTTGGTGAGTCACACCTAATGAAACTGGCTTTACATGTGAATTTATTGTTACTCAACAAATTCTGACACTAAGAAAGAACGCGCCACGTCTGGGACACGGTGTAGGGTCGCCAGAGCCAGCGCAGAAATGTTTAAGGCAGCTTGGGCTGCATGTATGTTTTCTGGTCAGCCTGATCTACACAAGGGGGGACATCATCCAGAAACACAAAAGGTCCTCCTTGAGAGTTCATGTTTGTAAGGATTTATTTTACCTACCTTTCTCCTCAGTATGCCTTCAACAAGGTATGAATGACTTTCAGAAACCGGGGTTCATATTATGGTCCCCAACTCGGGAATTTCCTACCACACCTCTGAAAGGTTGGGATTACTGGCGCTCACAACCACGCCAGCCGCCTACAGCCTCACTTTAAATTAAAAAACGGCAAACGAAAGTCTTTGGAGGAATCTCACTCAGACCAGTCAACACTGAGAGCTAGACAGGTCTCTAGTTGCCGTCGCACCCCGCCCCACTTCCTGTTGTGCACACCCACCGGTGCCACGCAAAGTGCCACCGCCCACCCTTTCAGTCCCGCAGCCGTGCAGTGGTTCGGTGGCTGCGCTTTCTCAGGAGGCCCGAAGACCGGTCGCGATACTCTATGCGGACTCGCCGGGGTCGTGATACTCTGCAGAGCAACTTCTGGCCATCCTACCCCGTGGAGCTCCCGCGAGACCTCGCGCCGGGGTAAACTCGGTTCCGCTCGAGTGCTGGGCGGCCGGACCGGAAGGGCGGGCTTTGGATGCGCGGCTCTCCAATTCTGCCTTCCGTAGGCGCCGCGCTCGACGGCCTAGCCAATCGCAGGTCACATCGTGTCGCAGCAGCCAATCGGAGAGGCCCGGAGCCTCTCAGACGCGCGGTGGGTCTTTGCTTCTTCCTACTCTGAACTTCTTTTGTTAGAGCTCTGTGGATTCTGTGGCCTGTTTGTTTCTCCGTGCAATCCGACGCCATCGCGTTTTTGGCGAGCGCTGTAATGGATAGTAGAGAGGCTGGAATCGACCCGATGCCGAGCTGGCTTTGGCGATGGTGGCGCGCGCTCCGGAGGACCGATTGGAGAACGACACCAGGAGACGGGTAGGGACGGCGAGATGTCCGTTGAATGTTGCAAACCAAGCTGGGACAAAAGATTTCAGCTCTTGCCTCGTGCTTTCTTTTGTAGCTCACTGATGCGGAGGTGACGCAGGAGCTTTTGGTGTGTCTTGGCTCTAGCATGTGATAACACAGGAGCTTTACCGAGGATGTCCCGGAATCTTAATTTAGCGAATCTTTCTGAAGACGTTTTGCCTCGATGAGGGAGTTCATGAAAGAAGGTAAGGTCTCGAGTGCCCTTGAGTCCCCCAGTGCGGTGGCAGCTGCCCAGCAGCGGAGACATGGGAGAAAGGGCAGGCAGAGCATTGTTAGGGTTTGGGAATGGGGCATCGTGGATAGCTTTCAGGGTTGAGAAGATCTTAGAAGAAAACAAGTCAAGTTCCTCTTATTTACACTTTACAGAACAAGAAAACCGGCTAGCTGAAGGCGTAGTTTTATTTTTTTCAAGATCTTTAGCATATTCATTACCTCTTTTCTGAATAATGGTGTAGGCCAGCTATAGAAGCATGTAAAGATTTCATTTATTTGTTGCCGTCAAATGATACTAATCAAATCAAGGATCCCCCCCCCCACCGTCTTCTCTTGATTGAAGTCAGCAAATTATCGAGGCATTGCTCACTCAGCCTTCTCAGGTTATGCTTATGTCTTATTTGGATGAAATGGACAGCTTTTGCTGGTTTCTCTTTATTTTTTCCCGATACAGGGTTCCTTTGCGTAACTTTGGCTGACCTGGAACTTGCAAAATGTAGACCATAGGGATCCGCCTGCCTTAACCTTCCAATTGCTGGGACTAAAGGCCAACGCCACCATTGCCCGGCTCTTTTAATTTTAAAAGAAAGCCCATGAACTATGGGGACACCGGGTGCTGGAGGGAGGATGTGGTGTATCGCTGACTTCATGGCTGAGATTAGGGCTTTGTGTTAGTTTTCTTGAGTGAGTTATTTCACCTCACAGTTAAGTCTACAGTTGTGCAGTAGCATAGCCTTACCGAAGCAGCTTCCAGTATGTCTGAGATTCAATCCTGGGTCTTGTGCATGCTTTTGGCTGCTCCATCACCAACCTGCACTTGTTTTTAGAATATTTACAGTTCTCTGATAGTTTTCTGAATGGGTCTCCCAAAAGGCTGGGAATAAAGGTTCAGGTCAGTTTTAGAAGTTTTACGTCTCCTAAAGACACCTTTATTCCTTTGAAGGCAGGGCCTCGTGTAGCCCAGTCTGCCATTCGACCTTTATGTAGCTGACGATGGCTGCCCACCTCCCTGGTGCTGTGCTCCAGCTAAGCCCCTTAAATGTGGTTCTGGAGATTGCTAGGGCGTCACGCGCTCTAGGCAAGTGCTCTCCCTCTAGCCCAGAGAAACTCCGTGTTCTTTTGTGCCAATATAGATTACCTGTTCTGTGTGCTTAAGATGGAATAATAAACTAGTACATAGGATTTTTGTGGCTGGCTTTTTCTGTAAAACAGTATTGGAAGATGACCTTTTCTTTCTATTGCCTAGGTGTAACCTTGTATGTGTAAGACATCAGTTGCCAGGTATTTACATTGTTGGCTTTTATTTTTTAGGTGTTACTAAGAGTGATGCCTAGAGTGTGGACAAGTATGGGTACATTTGTTTCTCTAGATTTGTGTTAGTGGCATTGCTTTGCAAATTCCTGTCCCCATTTGCTTCCAACTGAGGGCAAAAGTTCCATTTTGGTCACATGTTTGTAGGTGCGAAGTGGTAGCTTGTAGTGAGCCTCCTTCCCTGAAACTTGTGAGAAAGAAACCTATGGGAAGCAACTTGCGAGCAGAGGCAGGTGAATCTAGTTCAGGCCAGCCAGCATCGCACAGCCAGACAGACCGGTTCTCACAGGCACACTAGGATGAGTTTCTTTTCTTGGCACTTGCGCTTCTATTGTAGTCTTTGTTGCCGGGATCCGAGGGAAAGCATTTGGCCATCTGGCATTGCACAAAGATTTGCCTTCAGTTTGTAGCTCAGTGAACAAACAAAAGCCATGCTCAAAAAGCAAGGGCGAACAAGGTGGCGCTGGTCAAAGCACTGGTACAGGCCTGGTGGCATGAATCAGTTCCAGGACCCATGTAAAGGAGGGAGGGAGGACTAACTGGACCACAGCTCACAGACAATGACTAACAATGAGACTTGGTAATTATGAAAGCTCAGATGATGGCTTAGGCTTGTTTTTAGCTAGCTCTTATAACTTAAATTAACCCATTCCTTGAGACTCCGCCCTTCCCAGTGTTCTCTCTGACTCCCAAATCTAGCTATTGGCCGTTCAGCTTTTTATTAAGCCAGTCCAAGTGACACATTCACAGTGTACAAAAAGATATTCCACAAGCCAGGCAGTGTGGTGTACATCTTTAATCCCAGCACTTGGGAGGCAAAGGCAGGTGGATCCTTGTGACTTTGAGGCCAGCCTGGTCTACAAGAGCTAGTTCCAGGACAGTTAGGACTGTTATACGGAGAAACCCTGTCCCGGGGGAAATAAAGAGATACTACACAAGAGAACCGACTCCATAAAAATCATAGGACATACATTCCCCCCCACACACACACAAGGTGATAGAGTAAATGTTAAATCAATAATGATAAAAAAAATCCTTGACATTTCAGGAAATTTAAGCATTTGTACAGGGTTTATAGAGGGTGGTGAGGTTGGAGCGGACTTCCGAGCATGCAGAATTTCAGGCTAGTCTGGGCTACATAATTAAACTTTGTCTCAAAAATAAGACATACTGCTTATGTTACCTGCGAGACAGCTCAGCGGTTAAGAGCAGTTGCTGTTCTTGTAAAGGGCCCAGGTTTGTTTCCAGCACCCATGTAGCCTGATACAATCAGCTGTAACTTAGTTCCAGGGGATCCAACACCTGGCCTCTGGGCATCAGGCATGCGGGTGGTACATAGACACACATAGATAAAATGACTATACATAAAAATAAATTACACAGATTATAATTGAAAAAAGTTATGTGAGATGATTAGTACTTAAAGACCTTCGTTAAAAGTCTTAAGAGAACGTGAGGTACTGATGACACTCTGATGACATCAGTACTGATGACATCAGTACTGAGGTACTGATGAGCGCTCTGACACTACCACAGTAGAGGGTTTCCATTGCTGTGAAGAGACACCATGACCACTGCAGCTCTTAGGAAAGAAACCATTTAACTGGGGCTCGGGGAGCCAGGCAGGAAGGCATGGTGCTGGAGCAGTTGCTGAGAGCTTTACATCTGGGTGTGCCAACAGAGAGCAGGGGGGATATTGCATGTGATTTTGAAAAGCCCAAGTTTGCTGCCGCGACACCTCTTCCAGCAAGGCTACATGACCTTTTAATCCTTCCGCACAGCTCAGCTGAGGCCAGATAACTGCACATCGATGAGCCTGGGGGCTGATCCCCACCACAGAGGCTAAGTCATTTCAGATGTGTAACCTAGGACATGCATGCCGGAAAAGGGAGAGGATTCAGCTGAGCAGAAAGCCAGGTTAGCATCTACAGTGCTTAACTGGGCTCCTGCTGCTGTGATTTTTCTAGGACAGGTCAGGGGGTCCTGATAGCCTGACACACTGCTACTGTCCCTCGTCTTATCTGAATTTTGACTGTGTTTTGGTAATTATTAATTACAAATGGGGAATTACAAAACACATGTAATTATGCCATAGACTCAGGTGTCTGCTCCAGATATTAGAGCAATTGCAGTTTTTAGCAAGTGGCTTTGGTCTCTACTGTTTCCTCTGGTAGCTTCATATCCGATGATTAAACCTTTCACTGCTGTTCACATAATGAGCCGCTGTGATTACCGAGGAATTAATGAGGATATGTAAGCTCTGCTAAAGGTGCTCTTGAGACAGGCATTGCCCCTTGCTCAGTGATTTAAAAGAAAATCTCTTTTTCAGGGATCGTGTTAAGGGTGGTGTCTGGAAGAGATGTGTGGCGTTGGAAGATGATACGAAATACATAGAAAAGGTACAATAATCTGTTTTGTGTGTATTAAATATTCTGGGAGATACAGCCTGACCTCAAATGGATTATGAAGTAAAACTGGAATTCTAAAGGCTTTGGCGAAATCTTACTTTTCCTATTTTTGAAATGGTAAAAAAAATTATTCCTTTTATTTATTGTGTAATTGCTAATGTGTGGAAGTTAGAGAACAGCTTGAGTTTGTTTCCTTCTGTGACATTGGTCTCAGGTATCCTACTCAGGTTACCTGTCTAGTGAATGGTGTTTCACCTGTGTGTATGTCTGTGCCGCGTGCATGCATGGATGCCTGCGGAGGCTAAGAGGACATCAGATCTTGTGGAGCTGCTATGTGGGTGGCAGAAGTGGAACCCCTGTCGAGCCTATCTCCAGCAAACCCGGCTAAGACTTGGGCTAGCTCTGTGCTTCCTATAAAAGCACAGGCGTTGCTACAGCTTGTGCTTTTATACAGGACTGTTTCCCACAGTGGCCCTATGGGGCAACTAACTTTGTTGGAGGATTTTAGTGCTGTGCCTGCTGAGCCTCTGCTCTGTGATCGGTTGGATTCCTGGCTAGTTCCACTAGTTCCTTCCATGCTCTGTGTTTTGTAACTCATAGTCATGAGGTGTCCCTAGAAAGTATTAGATCTGGAGTTTCTGGTTACCAATTTTAGGTAGTCCCAAGTCTTCTGAGGTTATATTTCCCTTTTTGGATATGAATATGAATTGAGCCTTTTAGTTAAAATCGGGTGGTTTAAAGTGACAGACATTACATTCTCTGTGTGTCAGGTACTCAGGGCTAGGTATTCTCACAGGCCTGTTGATTGTCTGAAGTCCTGACTTGAGAAGAGAGCATCAGCATCCAAACTCTGTTGCTGACCTGGAGTGTCCAGTTCTGTTCACATGAATCTCTCATAGGCTGTAGCAGCCGGCTTCCTCTGAGGGAAGAGGCCAAGATAGAAGAGTATCTTTAAAATGTGGTTCAGAAAGTCTGCCATATCTAAGTACTATAGAGAGGCTGTAAGGATACCAGGAGGTGGAGAGGTCAGTATCCATTATTTCCTATTTAGTATCTGAACCTAGTAAATGAGTATTTTGTGTGTGGGTGTTATGCCTGTATGTACGTCTGCATCATTTATGTCTGGTACCTGAGGACCAAAGGGGCCATTAGAGTCCCCTGAACCGGAGTTACAGGGTGTGAACCATATGGCTGCTGGGGCATCTAGTTCTCATAACTGCTGTGCCAGCTCTCCAGCCTGGTGGTCCCAAACCCTTCTCTTTCTCTTTGGCCCTGGCTGTCCCGGAACTCGTTATGTAGCCCAGACTGGCCTCCAGTTCACAGATCTAGAGGTGCATGATCTCTTTTGCTTGCCTACATTTACTATAATTATGTACCTTAGTACAAGAAGTTCCTAGGGCACTTAAAGTTTTTTCAGTCAGAATGTTCCTTGTTTTTTCTTTTATTCCCTGTTAGATTTCCTCCTAATTCTGGAGATTGCTGGGAAAGCTAGTTGGAACTAGTTATAATTAAATTAGGAATCTTCATGCTTAGGGTTTTTTGGGATGGAACTGTGGTCCAGTTATACAGTTCTTTGTTTTTATTTTTAGAGACAGGGTTTCTTTGTGTAGCTCTCAAGCCTGTCCTGGAACTTGCTCTGTAGACCAGTTAGCTTCAAACTCAGAGATCCTCCTGCCTCTGCCTCCCGAGTGCTGGGATTAAAGTCGTGCGCCACAACCGCCTGGCTCAGTTATACAAATATTTAACATTACTGAAGTATGTTCACGTTTCCCTCAAAGCTGATGTGTACAGTGTGGTACTTGTTCTTCCTTGTTGCTTATTTGTCCCTTTGTGAGCTCTATGAGCAAGGTGGACTGTCAGGGAATCAGAATATTCCTGATCTGTAGAACGTTCTGTCAGTCAGGGTTCTTCAAGGAACAGAAGTGATAATGTTTATCAAAGAGGGTTGGTTCTAGAGGACCTCAAGAATTGTGGTCTAGCTAGCCCAACAGTGGAGAGGCTAGGAATCTGGTGGTTGTTCAGTTTCCGGACTGGGTGTCTCCTCAGCTCCAGTGTGGCGGAGAAACTTTGGAAGTAGGTTCTGATACCAGCAAGAGGTAGGGCAAGCTGGTGGAGCAAAGGCTTCTGTGTGGCCTTCCCACCCAGAAAATCTCTCAGGTGTGCCCAGCTCCTTGGGTTTTAGTTGGTCCTGGCCTAGTCAGGCTGACAACCCAAGACAGCTGACACAAATACATTACCTTTCCTTGGACACAGAAGTGATTTACTTATGGATAAGACTTGACTTTGAAGTTGAGGCATAATGTTGTCACCTTCAAAGTTGATGCTTGAGTTGCCAAAAACAAAAGAACCACACATGATTCTTAACGTTTTAAGTAAGTTGGATTATATTCATAGCTATTCTCGGTTGCATGAGGGATGCAGGGTGGGCTACATCTGCCAGGAAGATCTTAGTTCTTGACGGTTGGAAACCTTTAAAAATAGTGCACACATTTAAATGGGTTGAAGAGATGGGTCAGTGGTTAAAAGAACCAGCTGCTCTTTGGGAGACCTGGTTTCAGTTCCTGGCACTGAAGTTTACAGTAGTTTACAACCACCGTGTGTAACTAACCCAGGGGATCTAAAGCCATCTCTTCAGGCACCGGGAATGCACATGGTACACATGCAAGCCACTCTTACCTATAATATAATAAATAAAATTAAGAAAATGTATCACACTTAAAGCACAGAGTAAGTGGTTTTATTACATGGTAAGGTGTGCTTTCCCATATAAGGTTTGCTTGGTGATGAGAAAACACCACTTAGGAGACAGGAGATTGTCTGAACAAAATAAATATAATAATATATTTGAAAGTCTATGAATTTTTTCTGACATGTTTTATATTAGATAAATGGTACTTATTTATAAAACCATGTATTTACATTTTAAAGGGCTCAGGCAACAAGAACAAAGCATTTCTAAGTAGAGCTTAAGAAAAAAAGCAGATACAGATGGTAGTGATTAGCTTCCTCTGCTGCTGTTCACATCCTAACTGTGTGATTAATGTATGTGAGGACATTTTACAAAGTCATGATTTAAATAACAGTGTAACTTCTGTATTGATTTGTCTGTTTTAATGTGTGGGTTTTTTTTGTAGGAAAGAAAAGGATGTTTTGCTTAAGAGTATGCCAATTGCAAATTTATTCAATAATTTGAAGATTATATAAGGTAAGGGATTTTAAGATATTATTTATTTAAAATTAGGAACTTCTAAATTATTAGGCTGCTTTCATCTCTAATTCTGCCCCAGCTACTTGGGATTTCCCTAGACTCCCTCTGATATGTAGAAATAACTTGAGGGGACACAACCAGCAGGTAGGGCATATGACTGGTGTAACCAAACCTTTAGCTGTGTGAGGGCTAGTAACTGTCCTGCCCTGGTGTCATCCATACCTGGGCACTTTATATGTGGAAGAAAACTTACTTCCCCCTGTCAGGCCACAGCTCTGGGAATCGGGTTAGGAACCACTGCTGGAATAGGTAGTAGAGAGGGACTGGCCTCTTTGATCTCAGCGTCAGTTTGCTAATGGCCATGCAGGACCAGATGGACTGGTGTTTTACAAAGTGGGTGAGGGGAGACTCTTTCTCTTCCTAAATGAAGTGCTGAAGGGAGACTCTTTCTCTTCCTAAATGAAGATTGTCACTTCTGTGGAAACAAGTCAGGAGTAATCAGAGACATGGCCTAGCAGTTAAAGGAACAAATTGCAAAAGGAGGACAAGAGCAAAACTATTTGGCGTTTGCCGCTCTGGCTCCTTTCACTAAGAACCCTTGCCTGATGCCACTCATGTTTCCATATGGAAGAAAATGATGCCTCTTAGAAGAGTTCAGAGGGCACAAAGGGGGATGAGAAAACTAAAATCAATTGGGAAGCAAAACTATAAAATCTGTGAAACAGCTAGTTTGAAATAAAAAAACCCCTTTGTTTCTGCTCGTGATGGAAAAGTAAAAAGACCTGTGCCAAACAGCCTGTAAATGTTGTAGAACAAAGCCCAGAGACCAGAGCCCACGCTCTTGGAGATTCTTACCCAAGACTCTGTCAATGAATACTTATTCACTCATTCTGCAGGGCCCGTTCAGGAAGGGGCGTTTCTCCTGCTCTAAGAAAGTGCTCTTCGCACAGCCTGATGGCCTGAACTAATTCCTGGAGCCCACGAGGTGGAAGAGAGCGGACTCCTGAAAGTTATCTTCAGATCACATACACAATAAGAAAATAAGTGTAAATTTTACAAATCAAAATAGTGATTAAAACATTAGAGTGCTGTTTTACTGAAATGTAAACGTGATGCAAGTGATTGTGGAACATCTGGATGCTTTGTATAGTTTTGTACAGAACTTTACTCTTTTCCGAAATAAGAAAGGGAGGAAAATTGTCAAAGGAATCGAACTCACTGTAAATCTTTTTCTTTTGCAAAGAAAGAGTTATTTGTAATGGTATTTTGCAGTGCCCTCAGATCAGATAAAGCTGGAGTTACAGTGGTGAGCGCTGTAAGCTGAACTCTGGAAGAGCGAGTACTGAGTCATCTCTCCTGCCCAACTTTTTGTGGCTATGAATGTGAAATCTTTTGCATTTTAGAGAAAAAGCAAGAGTAAGATGTGCCATATTGGAATATTATGGCTGCCAATCAAAATGAATTGTTGCTTTCTGATAGAGTGCTAGCCTAGTCCTTGTTTAAACATTTCAGAAGCTGTGCCCAATAAAAGAGCCAGTTTGTCCTTGCAGATCCAACTGTGCTGCTGTCTGACTTGTGCTTCATTTGTAGTATACAATAAACATTGTTTTCGACTGTTCTGAATTGGTGAGTTCTTTTACTGCCTGCTACTCCAAACCACAACATTGGGTGGCCCAAAAAAAGGGAGCTCAAACCTCCTGTCTCTGAGTTAGGACTCCCCTTCAGTCATGGAAACAGTTCATGGCCTGTGGTCAGGGCAACCTTGAGGGTGTTGAAAGGTTCCCCAGCTGTTTAACTACCATCACTCCTTGTGGTCTCTGTAGGAGAGTGTTATTCCTGATACCCGAATCTATGGTATGTCCGAGGATTGAGCTGCCTTGCCTCATTCAGGGCAAATCTGCACGTTGGCTCCTCTTTCTCAGGCTTTTCTGGAGTTGGCAGCCACTGAGAAGCAGGATCTTTGGTTACCCTACTGAGGCTGTGCCTAACAAGTCTCCAAACCTGTCACTTCTTGTCATACCAGCCTGCATTCTGAGAGTGATTTCATCTGAGGGTTTCTTCATGACATCTGATCCAATAGCTGGGAAATCGTAGGTTTCTTGCCATTCAGCTGTTGGCCCTTGTCAGGAATCTTCAATAAAATGAACCTCTCCTTTAGAGTTGTACCATGGATATGGTTTGGACCCTTAATCTGTTGGAAATGTTAGGGTCACTGTTCCCCTTTTATCACCAGGGGTTAGGCCTCTTCTATTGTTGTGGACTCAGGGGATGTTAGTTTCTGGAGCTTCCTTAAAATGCCACAGAACAAACTTAAGTCTTAGGTCTCTATTTTATTAACAGGCTGCTTGCTTATTTATGTTCCTTAACTCACTGAGGGTGGTATAAAAATTATTTGTTTTGTTTTCTTGAGAGAATCCCAGCTCAGGCTGACCTCAAACTGGTCTTTTGTGTCCCTACCTCCCATGTACTGGCATACAGGCATGTGCCACCATACCCATCTCTTAAATTAAGACTCCTGTTTTCTCTTCATTGCACTCCTGAATTACTCCTTATTTTACAAAACTCTGTGAAACCCTAGGGTTCAACAAAACCAGTTGTAGAATTTGTGCTGATGTAACTGCAGGAAGCTTCCAAAGGTGTCATCTTTTTGGTCACACTTGGTCCCTTGATGTAAAGGTGCTTAATGAACCCCGCACTTCTATCTTGCAAGTTAGAAACCAAAAGTCTGAGGGGTTTTCTTTCAGGGCCAGGTCAGCTATGGACAATCCAATCAAACCTGGCAAGAGTACTCATGAGTTCCAACTGTAGGCAAACCCTCTTAACTCTACATCTTGTCTGTGGACCTACACTGAGATTCCTGCTGTCAACACCAGGAATGGCCAGTGAAAATCTCCAAATCTAAAAACTGGGCAGTCTTCACTGCCACCCTAGCTTGTTCAAACCCCACTAATTAAATGGGCTCAATCCTAAAAACATGCAGACTACATGTTCAGTGGGTATCTAGGTTAGGACCCCCACTCGACCTCATCTGGGCGCAAACCTTGTATATTCTCCCTTTAGCCGCTGTGAGCAGACATTACTGGAAGCATTCCTCGGACAGTCTTCACTGTTGAAATCCTGAGGACCCCATATGCTTCCTTCGATAGACTTGGTGCCTATCTTTACCCACAGGACACATGTGGCCTGGCTTCTAACCTTCCTGGCACCCTTAGGTACCCATCTAAGTGGAAGCTGAACCTATTTTATTGTTGGGACCTCAACCTTAATGTAGTAGGTACAGAAGTGGGCTTGTGAACTCCACTGTTAGTGCCCCAAATCTCCCTAGGACTTAGAAATACTCTACCCCAAGAACTTTTAGCAATATAGCAAATTCACTTGAAAGCAACAGTTAAATTTCACAACTTAACTGCCGGGGCCCTACCCCGATAGAGGAAGAATATTGCTCATTTATCAGCCAATCTTGATGAATACATTAGATGTCCTGGAATTTCAGAGAAAATGGGCATGCTCAGGGGCAGAACAAGTGGGCTTTAAAATGTCTGGCCAAGGCTGCCCTAGGTACCTTTCTGTCTAGACTACTTATGGCTGTTGATATCTTAGATTTGGTCCTTATCTACTTTTATCTTTAAGTTAGCATATAAAGTAATAGATTTCATTTTGGTGTTTTCAGGTTCTTATTCATCTCTACGATTCAGCAATTTTAGGTTCAGCTGATTTTCAATATGAATTCCAGCCGATATCCTTAAAGAATGGATAACCGGCAGGCCCTTTAGAAGAGGCCACCAGGACTTGTGACAGCCATTTTTTTTAAACTTCTGCCCCAATTTTATCTTCTTTTATATTTTTTAACTGAATTTTATTGAGCTCTACATTTTTCTCTGCTACCCTCCCTGCCTCTCCCTTCCTCTTCAACCCTCTCCCATGGTCCCCATGCTCCCAATTTACTCAGAAGATCTTGTCTTTTTCTACTTCCCATGTAGATTAGATCCATGTATGCCTCTCCTAGGGTCCTCATTGTTGTCTAGGTTCTCTTGACAGCCATTCTTAACTGTCCCTTCATGACTGCTCTGTCATCCCTTGACAAATCAACAGGAAGCGCAGCATTAAGATTTCATGCAGGGGCTGAAGGTATGGGCCGAGGGCTAAGAACTAAGGAAGTTCTTACGGTTCCCAGCACCCATAAGGATGAACTGACATACCAATGGTCTATAGATGCTATATTCAATGTCACCCTCCCCCATATACACGTAATTAAAAAGAAATCTTTGAAAAGAAATAAAGAAAAAGATTTCATGCTGTTTGAAGCTCCAGAAGAGATCTAAACTGCCATGACTGGCCTAGAACAGGCCTCTAGGTGTGTAGGACCTGACAGCAATGCCAGAGTCCAGCCCTTGTTCAGGGAACATAAACCAGTCAGACTTGCTCTATTTGAATCCCAGGATCCCAAAAGAGCTGTGTGCAACAGGCGTTTCTGCCACCGCTCTCTGGGTGTTTTACTGCCTGTGACTCCACATATCACATGTGTTTGGTTACCTCTATTTTTTCAGCTTCAAAGAGTCTGGGAATGAACTTTCTTTCAGAAAGCTTCATTTTCATTTGATCCAGAATAAGGCTTGATAAGTAGTTGACTAAAAGTAGACTGTGAATGATACAAGTTTCATTTTTAGGTGCAGGCGGTCCTTTGCGAGCTCTGATTCTGCCCGAGTATCATTTCCATGCCAGTACAGGACTGTAATGCCAGCTACTGAGGAAACTAAGCCAGGTTATCAACTTCACGGCCAGCTTGGACAGCTCAGCGAAAATCTGTCTCAATAAAAATGAGAGTTGCGGATACCTGTTGGTGGTAATGCACTTACCTAGTTTGTACCTTGTTTCTCGCTTTCATCCCACCTGTCGCCACCCCGTTTGAAGTCAATGTCTATGAACCTATCACTGTCCCTCTACTGCTGGAGTTACAGATGCTGGCTGCTGCCCTAAACTGTTAGGCAGATCCTGTCCTTATGCTGGAGTGGGGAGGTGGGGTGGGCTATCACTTTCTCATACATTAAACTTACTTTTTAAAGTGAAATACATATGTAGCACACCGAGGGTGAATTAAAAACATTTTCACTTTCCAGTACTTAGGAGTAGTGGCTGTGGCTAAGGATCGAACAGAACCCTGTGTACACTATGCAAACACTCTTAGAAGTATATCCTCGGCTGTAGAGACAAGTCATCACCATATAGTTCAGGCGGGCCTTTAGGTGTGTGCGACAAATTCACATAAATTCTCAAAAGGCAAACGCAGGTCGCGGCCTTTAATCCTAGCACTCGGGAGGTAGAGGCAGGAGGATCTTTCTGTGTTCGAGGCCAGCCTGCTCTATCTACCGAGTCCCCGGAACGCCTGTCTCGAAAAACCAAACCAACAAAACAAAAAGACAAACGTAGACCCAACAGAGCCCTCGCCCAGCTTTCGCGCTGATCGTCGGGGATGGGAAGTGTCGCCTGCGGCTGCTGACGCTTCAAACGAGAGCTACGTGGCGTCTCCGTGGTCACCGCAGCTCTTCTCTGTTGGAGACGCCCAGCCCAGCTGGCCTTCCCCTTGATCCACCGCCAAGCGGCCGCAGCCCTACACTGCGCGCCTCCTCCAAAATCACGGCCGACTCCCTACTTCCAGCTCCACTGGCCTTCGGGGGCCGCTGCTCCCGGAAGTGCCTTCCCGCGGGGAGGAGGAGCGGACGGCTGCTCCCGGAAGTGCCGGCCGGCAGGGTGGGCGTGGCGAGCCGCCGCACCCGGAAGTGGCGGCCCGCAGGCGGGGCTGCGGCTGCCAC